TGATAATGTTGTTCAGAAGAAGGTCACTGAGTGGCTCCACAACCAAAATATCCAACTCACAGAACGAAATTCCGTCACAAATGTTAAAATACTTGTTTATTGAAGTTTAATCACACTATGCAGGTCGACTACAAAGAGTCAGTCAGTCAGTTACAACGTGGAACGTCGTACGTATGCATGTACATCAGTTCTAGTTGCCACACTACACTAACACAGAGAGATAGAATTGTCAGTTTAAATCTCACAGTAGCAGAGGTCGCAACAGTATTAGCAGTAATGGAGAAGATTAAGGATCGAAGATATCATTCAAGTAGTATAAGTCAGTGAAAAAAAATTTAGGAAGAGAAAAACATATCATGAGGAATTTGGCACACACAGAGATTGTATTGTCAATTGAATAATGAGTGATATGATAGTCCCAGAGTGTTTCCAACAAATAGTCAGTATTTATAGTGATACTGTTCTCTGACAACGGAAAAAGAGAGTTACAATAGGTTGGTCCTAGAAATAGTACACTCCATTACAGATTCTCGTTGCCCTGGGTAACTCGTGAAACGTATGAAGCTAACACATCACAAAACAATGTTGCGTAACTGAACTAAGTGGACAGTTATCCTTTGCAAAATTAGATCACATTCGAATACTTCACTTGACTGTCTGAAGTTTGTGCTGATGATGTTGTTGTTGAGTAGAAGAACAATAATAAAAAGCTTCACAAACAAAACATCCCTAACTAAACAAAACAAAACTCCATCACAATCATCATCTAACTAAGCTACACATTTTCTCCACCATTTCAAAATGAATGAAACTGAAAACTTAATCAGTCAATCAATCAGCAGCAGCGTAGAACTTTCGTACGTACGATGTACATCTGTTCATGTTCCCATACCACATCTGCGCAGAGATGTAATTATCAATTCAAATATCATAATAGTAGCGTTAGTGAAAGTATTAAAAGTAATCGGAAAGATTAGAGTTAGAAGATATTATTCAAGAAGTAGAATCTAGTGAAATAAACTTAAAAATAAAAAGACAAAGGTGTTGAGGAATTAAAAAAAGTTTACGATTCGAAAGAACAAAAAGAACTGGATGAAATCAGTTTTCAAGTTTGTTACAACATAGAAATATCTTACATCATTTTGAAAATGTTAAGCTCTTTCACAACTTGTTAAGGAGACAGATGAAATAGCCAATCAGCGCGCAGCTGATTGGCTAATTTCCTATCCAATCAGCGCCTGGCCCATACTTAGAGAACAGGCTAGAAGATTCTCGTGTCGTTAGCTGCATGCTGATTGGTTAAATCTAATCCAGTCAATGCTAGTCAATCACGTGAATTACATTCCAAAAGCTTCTCATGTAAGAAACTAACGCTTTTTGCCTTCACCATCACCTTTGGCTTCTTATTTCCATTTAACCTTTGCTATTTGGAATATAATCTTGTCCAGTGTATTGTGTGTTCAGAGAATACTAAGCAATAGGAATCAATTGGGAATTATTTAAACGAGCGTTATAACACAACTGGATGGTTAAATCACAAAATATTATATCAGTCAATAATTTTACAAAGAAAAAAAATAAATAAATAAGCCATTCATTGGATGAATTGAGAATTGCCAAAACAAAACAAAATATTACGCAATCAAAACAAAAAAATCAATGAAAAATTGTGTCAAACGTTTTAATGATCGCATCAAAATGACAGCCGCAACAGCAACAACAGAAACAGCGGAAATAGTTAGCTTAAATGAAAGATAAACCTAAATGGTGTACTTTTTAAACTGGAATACACTGCATTTAAATTCAGGCAGATAGAAGAAGAAGAAGTGAGTAAGATTGATTGATTGATTGAATAAGATGTAATGAAACAGTGTTATTATGTTGTTTTTTTCAATGTCAAACAATAATATTCAAATATGAAAACAAATTTAGACAAGAAAAAAAAGAAAAAAACAATTCAGCATGGTTAACAGTTAGAGAGAGAGAAAAAACTTACAACAGAACTATTTTTCTAAAATAATTATGAAAGCTTTGAGTAATACTACTCATAGGAAACTGATAAAATTACAATATATATATATATATATATATATATATATATATATATATATATATATATATATATATATATATATATATATATATATATATATATATATATATACCTTTGTAATGACTTGATGAAATTACTGACAACTGTTGAATCAATGAATCAATCAATAGCAACGTAAAACTACGTACGTCAATCAGTCAGTCAGTTGCAACGTAGAACTTCGTACGTATGTACATAAGTTCATGTTGCCAGACCACATTAGCACATAGAGAGACGCAAATGTCAAATCAAATCCCATAGTGATAAAGATAGTAGAGGTATTAATGGTAATGAAGAAGACTAGGGTTTGAAGATATTATTCAAGAAGTATAATTTAGTCAGATAAAGTTAGGAGAGACAAAAGTAGAGGTGCTGACGAATCCAGAAGGTTAGGATTTGAGAGAGACCACAAAGAATGGATGCACTTGCGCCATTGCAAACGATTTTGAGCCATGTCGTTCAAGGTTTCTAACCATTGGTGACTTTCGTCTCGCGGACCCCAACCAGGTAGCCTACATCTACCAACATAACTCAGTTCACTTCTCAGTGACTTCATGGATTTCTGCCATGTTTTGGTCTGGCCGCCCCTAGCTTTCTTCCAACCTATTCCTACACCACACTACGTACGTACGTACATCAGTTCATATTGCCATATCACATTAGCACAGACAGATGTAATTATCAATTCAACTCCCATAGTAGTAGGGGTAGTAAAGGTATTAGAAGTAATCGAAGAGATTAAGATTAGGAGATATTATTCAAGAAGTAGAATCTAGTTGAATAGACTTAAAAAGATAAAGATGATGAGGAATTCAAAACGTCAGGATTTGAGAGAATACAATGAATAAATACGCCTGCGTCATTGCAAACGATTCTGAACCATATCATTCAAAGTCTTTAACCATCGATTAATATCTTCTCGCAGACTCCAACCAATGTAGTCTACATCTACCAACATGACTTAGTCCACTTGTCAGTGACTTCATGGATTTGTGCCATGTTTTGGTCAAGCCGCCCCTAGCTTTCTTCCAACTTACTCCTGCACCTACTCAGCAGAATAATATGATCGACCGAATACTCCCAAAACTAATCGCAACGTAGAGAGATATAACATTCGGCTGTTTTTTCTAAATAAAAAAACCTCTTTTTCTCATAATAAAAAAATTTTTTAACGAAATTAAAATAAATATCCTATCAAGGAAAATAAAAACAAGTATAATAAACTTCTCTAAAAATGGCCAATTAAAATATACTTGACATGAAAAATTTAACCATGCACTAGTTATTGATTAGTATACAGTCAATCTAATAATGAAAAGTATTCTTCTATGTGACCCAATAATATTTTTAAAAGAAAATTAAATACAATGAGAGAAGTGTTAATAGACAAGTGTAACACAAATGATTGGAACAGTTATTTTGAAGTCAAATTTCAGTAAGGGCAAGTATAATATTAATTTATTTAAGGACATTCTTGTTTTTTTGTTAACATTTGTTCTCGAAGTAAGTATAATGAAATGTCATGAGTTAAAAAAATTAAATAACTATGTCAAGTTGGAAGAAGTAGGAAACCGGTAAAATGTTATTACCCTAACAAATGTATGAATTGACAGATCCTCATCAACTGTGTTGTGTACCAAGGATCGAAACTAAGACTTTCAGATATCAATGGGGTGGTAGCTTCAAATGACTAATGTTGAAACCAATTATTTACGAGTAACATTGATGTGAGTGTGAATTTTTTAAATTTTATTCTAATGCAAGTAAATAATATAAAAAGGAATATAAATATATTATGGGGTTGTGGAGATTAATAAGTAACCTCATAGAACTGATGAATCAATCAATGTTAGATCACCGTTAGAAACCTGGAAGCACTGAAAGACGGCCGTTTCGTCCTGGTATGGGACTCATTAGTGGCAGTGCGCATCCACGACTCCTGCACCTCGCAGAATTTGAACCCAGGACCTTTGGTCTTACGAGCGACACCTAACCTTTGGACCACTGAGCCGGTATCTAATGCCGTTAGTGTCTAACTTTGGTCAATTCACGGTCTTGCGTAACCTCATACACTGTCTTCGGGAGTTATTGCCTACACACGCCCAGTGCTCCTAGGTTTCTGCTTATGGTAGTCTAACATTGATCGATTCATAATTTCAATGAATATAATTATGATAACAGGAGCTGATTGTTTTATAATTCGGTATGTAATACTAATTAATAACACGAATAGTAATAATATTAATAATAATAATAAACTGATTATATCATAAAAACCAACTAACGATATCTATGCGCCGATTTTCTAATTCTTCCACAACTTTCGCGACATCACAGGAAACTTCAATACATTTAGCTGTGTTCTTTACACCTAAAATTCAAATGATGAAATTTTTTGAAAAAATACAAAATAATTAATTAAAAGTGATAGGTATTTAAAGAGTGCAAATTTATTTAAACACAACTTTTTGAAAAATCACTCACCGATCAATGTTAAACAACCATTGGAAACATAGAAGCACAAGACGGTCCACAGGGTTGTTGATCCGTCCTAATGTACGGATGCGAGACTTGGCCGTTAAGAGTAGGGGACTTTCGTAGGTTACTAGTCTTCGATCATCGATGTCTCCGTAGAATTGCTCGTGTATCATGGGACAACCGCATAAGCAATGCTGTCGTTAGGAAACGAGTTCTAGGTAGGGATGGCAAATCAATAGATGAAGTAGTGAAACTTCATCAGTTGAGGTGGTTGGGACATGTTTTACGTATGGCTAACCACCGACTGCCGCGAAGAGCTACATCTTGCAGTGTAGGAGTAGGTTGAAAAAAAAGCTAGGGGTAGCCAGACCAAAGCATGGCACAAATCCATGAAGTCACTGACAAGTGGACTGTGTCATGTTGGTAGATGTAGGCTACCTGGTTGGGGTCAGCGAGACGATAGTCACCGATGGTTGGAGACCTTGAATGACATGTCTCAAAATCGTTTGCAATGGCGCAGGTGCATCCACTCCTTGTGTTCTCTGAAATTCTAGTCTTCTGAATTCCTCATAATCTCTATCTTTCTCCTTCTAAATTTATCTTACTGAATTATACTTCTCGAATCATATCTACGCTCCCTAATCTTCTCTTTTACTGCTAATACTTATATTATTGCTATCACTCTTAGATTTGAACTGACAGTTGCGTCTCTGTGCTGATGCGGTATGGCAACCTGAACTGATGTACGTACGTACGAAGTTCTGCGTTGTATCTGTCTGTCTGCTTATGAGTCCCATACTAGTAAGAAATGGCCGTCCAGTGTTTCCAGGTTTCTAATGACGGTCTAACATCGATCGGCTCATGATTTCCATGAAGCTTTACAATCTCCAAAGCCTTATAAGGCCGATGAACATGTGATTTAAAAGAATTTAACAGCGAAAGACACAAAAGTATATACAACGCCTATAATTTAAAACTGAAAGGAATATTTGAAAAAAAGTAACAGAATAGATAGTTCTGTTCAATTACCAATGTTTTAGTCTGCTTGAGCATTGGACGGATGATTGAACTACTCAGGGTCAAAGACAAATAAGACATCAAAATTGTAATAATGATGATCAACAAGCATTTATCATAAGTGTGGCAGAGAAAATTTCTAGTTCAGATGGATGATGATGATGATGGTGGAGTTCCGTTCTCTGGGAGAGATGGTTTCGTTATAGAACTTTGCTTCTATCTAAAGATTATACTGATAATGTTATTCGGACGAGTAAGGAAAGCTCCATAACCAAACCTTACAACACAGAGAACTAAACGTCACCATTTTTCATAAGTATAATATTGTAGGGATCATTACATTTCATTGAAATCCTCAATCGATCCAAGTTAGATCTCCAGTGAAAACAAGAAAGCACTAGACTAATGATGGACAGGTCAAGTGTATGGGCGAGGGAGATAAAAATACTTTTGATTAATTGACGCGCGCAAAGTCGTGAATGTGCTAGGACGAAACAGCTCATTCAGTTCGATTAGGTTTTCGATAGTGATCCAACTTAGATCGTTTCAGCATCCCGATGAAACACATTTATCAGTTAGTTAGAATGTATACCAGTGATATAGAATGTTTTAACTATGAGTAACTTTTGTCCACTTTATATTACAAGAAACTAATCATGGTCAACCAACAAGGCTGCTGCACATGCACATCACTGCTTTTTAGGCAACGCAAGGATTCTCACTGTAGCCAACAGTAATCACCCCTGCCCCAATCGGGAACATGCATGTTGTCCAGTTTGTTCTGCAGACAAGTGAACATTCAAAAAGTACGCACACGAACAGTGGCCCCCGCCCGGGCACTTATGAATCAAGAGATCCCTCCAACCAATCCACTACCCACGATCCCCAATCGGCAAGGGAGGAAAGCCGGGCTTACCCATCTGGACATGGCACCCCGAAGTGGATTACCGAGCCACCCAAGCAGTGCGCTAACCAGCAGCCATTCCAACCGTCTGGCCTCCAACTGCCCTGCGCTGAACAATCGATCGGAGTCCCCTAGGCCCCACATAAAGCTAAAGATCGAGTTTGTCCCACAAGGTCAGCTAGAACGTACACCTTTCCATGAGGAAGATGTCATGGGCTCAACCAAGCGCAAGCGCTAAGCCAAACAGGGTTCATCTCACAGAAGTAGGCAGACATCATTGGCGTCCAGTAGCCTTTCAGCACTGGAACACCGGAACCCTACTGGAGACCCTTGTTTAAGGGGCCTCGACGCCAGTTCACACATTACATCGAGTGCAGAGTGTAAGGGACAACCACATAGGGTCGGCGTCTATAGTCCAGGATGTCTACGGCTGCCTCCCCAAACAAATCATCTAGGGCCGCCTTCAATCATCCCAGAAAGCTACATCCCTTTCAAGGTATTTGCTACTACAGAATGATAGAGGACAAGTCCTCATATCATTATTGTTATTATTAGCAATGGTGATATGAAATACAGCACCCCAAAGACAATGGCCCTCGGGAATGTCGCAAAACAACCACCTATATCAATGAAATCGGTCACCCTGCTAACCAATTTTGTATGTGGGCTGTTAACAATGCATACCAAAGCAAAGCCATGCTATCCGTAATATTCACTGAGAACCTCTAGTTTCATAGAAGACCTTCAGCTCTATATAGCAGTATAGTATATGCTGTACACATTATATGGAGCAGGATAGTATAAGAGGCAGCCCAGCTTGATGCAAATAGACCCAAACACTTCTATTACCCTTTGTCTCATGTCGGGCAATGATTTTTTCGCGTTTCCGAAATTTTCATTTTTCGACTAAATGAGACCTGAGTTAGGGCATGTGCAGGACGCGAAACATAAGCATCAGAACATATAGACATGTTATATATCAATCGATAGGTAATAATTAGAGGAGTTCAATAAAACAAACCCCACTAAAAAATATCAATCCTATTGAAAGTTACTAAGAAAAAACTTTTCAGGTGTTTAAGCAAGGGGCTTTGGCGCCGGTTGGCACACTAAACGGATGTTCAGAGTGCTCGGGGCTACCATCAAAGGTCGGTCGCCTTGTAGACCAGTACATTACAAGAAACTAAAAGTTAGAAACTTGGATATTCTATATTTATAAAAATAATAATATTATTATTATTATTGCATAATAATTTACCTGATTTCAATCCTAAATAAGGCATATTTAACTCTTGTAAAGGAATTGCTTTCCAAAAATCATTTGATGCACTGTCATTCAAATGTTTATTTTCATGTGTTGTAGATTCATTATTCATTGAAGAGACATTATCACAAATACTGGTCGTTTTATCACTACTACTACTACTTAAAGATGATTGTACAGATGCAGAAATTGTTGATAACAGTCGGATTGTGCTTGGATTAATATTAATTGTTAAAGTATCCATATGTAATGTTCCATGTACGCTGCCATTAATTGGTTGTGAAGCATAGAAACTCAAATCAGAAGGTGATAAAATCTGAATACATGAAATAATCCAGAACACAAAAAAAAACAAACAAATAGAATTATCATCGAAAAAAATTCTTTGCATATGATTTAACCGAAAAAAAAAGAAAATTTAAGTAGAAAATGAACATTTAAATGAAGATAGTTTAGAATATTAAGATTTTAATTATGCTGGACAAATAAACGTAGATTTATACTACCCATGCACTTTTATTTATAGTTTGAATCTAGTAGGTGTCGATTACTTGGTTGGAGTCCGCGAGATGATTATAATCGATGCGTAGAGGCCCTGAGTTATATGGCTGAAAACCGTTTGTCATGGCATAGGTGCATTTAGTCTTTGTTTTCTATGAAATTCTAACCTAATGAATTCCTCATCATTTCTATCTTTTTTCTTTCAAGTTTATTTCACTAGATTCTACTTCTTGAATAATATCTTCGAACCCTAATATCTCCGACTACTGCTGATACCTTTACTACCCCTACTACTATGGATTTTAAATTGACAATTGCCTCTCTGTGTTAATGTGGTATGGCAACTTGAACTGCTGTACTTACGTGCAAACTTCTACGTTGCTGTTGATGATGATGAGTTTAAAATCTTATTAATGATTGTTAGGACTGAAATCGATCAGTCGGTTTTTGGAACATATGCATCGTGTGAGGGATGCATCGATATAGCCCCTAAGTTACAAGCATTATAAGCAATGACGGATAGTTCCCAGCAGTGGAGATCAGGACGCGTGTTTTCTGCTGGATTCCACTGATAGACACCATCCGTCTCAGCTTAGAAATACTTCTGAAGACGAGAAACTGGATAAATAATTTAATGTGAACTCATTGACGCAGGTAAGGTTTAGCATATATGGTTTTGAGTTTTATATTCTCAATGTGTGAAGACTAGTATAACTAAAATCCAGCTAACCGAACCGAGTTGGATCGAGAGCACTTTCAGAATGTAACTTAATAACTGAAAGTCGAACGCCCTAGCCACTGAAGCGACAGATTCGCGAATCAGTTAGTTACAACATAGAACTTCTTAAATACGTACGTAGACCAGTTCAAGTTGCCATACTAAATTAACACAGAGACACGATTTTCGATTCAAATCTCATAATAGTAGATGTAGTAGAAATATTAGCGGTAATGGAGAAGATTAAGGTTCGGAGATATTATTCAAGAAGAAGTAGAATCTAGTGAAATAAACTTAAAAGAAAAAATAGAGGTGATAAGGGCTTCAGATGGTTAGAGTTTTAGAGAACACAAAGAGTGGATGCACTTGTGTCCCTAACCATCGGTTACTATCGTATCGTGGACCCCAAGCAATCTAGTCTACATCTACCAACATGATTCAGTCCGTTTGTCAGTGACTTCATGGATTTGTGACACACTGATTAGCGAATTAGTGTGAAAGCGGTTAATATCAGTAGTTCTTAGACTTTTTGTTTAATATAGACACTGAATCACTAAGTAAAATGATCGGAATCTTAGACACGTGCAGGAATTCAATTGAACAAAGCATTTTAACACTTTTATCATTCAAATGAATTAGTGGCCCAATAAAGTTAGATAAATATTAATCTATACATAACTACATAGGTATTATTTGCTCATATTAATCAGTATAAACTGTATTCAGAGTACATAACAAACGTGAAAATAAACTTTTAGTTGACGTTTATAAAACAAATCACTAGAAATATATAGAATATCAGCTATTATTGAAGGAAATCAAGGACTATTAAAACAGAAATAAAAGAAATGTCAGATTTATAATTTAATTTCTGGTTTTCGCCAAAAATCATGAAAAAAAAGAAGAAAAGATGCGAATCATAGGCTTACATCTATTTCAATCCACTAGAAGAACATTTCACCAAGTGTTGGGGACATTAGATCCTGACTACTCACTTGGAAAAGGTCCTAAATTTGTAATTGATTTCTGAAATTTCGAAATTTTCATTTTTTTTGCGCCAAAGACGCTTAGTTGACCTTCAGCTCACATTTCCCAATCAGAAAATACTTGGCTGTTATTGGTCTATGGATTATTTTAGTACGCTATTTTGTGGCTCTCACCAAGGAAGTTTTTCAGTTGTACAACCCCCCCCCCGACGTGGTGGTCGGGCTTGACTATCGTGATGACCCAACTGAGCTATACTAACTGGAACTTATGTTCCTGCAGGTCCTACCATGCCAGGCTGGTCGATCGGAGAACGATGAGACTAAAAGCGGCTACCCAAGGTCTGAGGGCGAAGTGGTAATGCTGACTGCAGAGGGGTGTTACAGCAGTAAGGTGTTTCCTTCGGACAACCAGCATCTGCAGCGATGCTGCCTTCTCACAAGGAAGGAAGGGTTAGAAAAGGTCGAACCTAAAAAAATGTCACATCTCACCGTACCTCATGGATTTCCGTCTCTGTCGATAAGAGTGTCCACTAAGGGCCTTTAAGAGCGGAGCTAATACTCAAAAAACCCTCCATAAAAAGGCCGTGCGTGACCGGCCTCAAGCAGTTGTCCCATGGACTCTGCGGTCACGCACCCAGGTCTCTAAGACCAACACTAATCTATCTTCCTTTTCAGGTCCCTCAAGAAACAACCTTCCACGGTGTGGGCAGCCGGGAAGTGACAACCGCCGTCATACCCGTAACAGCACAAGAGACCAAATTGGTCCAAATCAAATCCTTCCTACACCCACACATACCTCTCTTCTCTCCACAACTAACTCTACTCACATTCCCTGACAAATAATCGAAGTTATGTACTTAAACACCTCGTATTTTCCTGGTGCCTACAGAATACATTCTCTCTACGCCTTATCAAGACTTCTTGCTCTAGTTAACAGGGACTGAGACAATTGGATTAGAATAGCCTATCGTGTCGGTGAATCAATTGGTCTTCGTTCAGTTTATCGAGTAAGGTGAACTCGGAATAATAGTTTCAAGCATATCAGCAAGTGAAATAATTTAAATGGACAACGAAGTTTACTTTTTTCTAATGTCAAAGAACTTTGAAGAAAAAATGGAACATTAATATTTTTCCAGTTCTTATAATCAAGCAATCAGAATTTTTTTGTATACAACTAACTGATTGAAATCAGCAGTACTCATGAATAATAAGATGACAATAACTAAATTATATCAACAACAGAAAAATAAATCATCAGACGTTCTCGTTGATATAACTCATTTTTTTAAGAAACTCGATTTAAACACAAGATTCAAAAAAAAATCAAACGGGAACATACCTCCTTGGAAAATGGTCCACCAACTGTTTCATTGTAAGGACACGCAGCAACAGACAGATTGTTGATTAAAGCATTGATAACAATAACATTTTGTTGCATATTATAACCAAAACTTAATGCAGTCTAAAAGTTTACAAGTAAAAAAATCTAATGTACTAATTATGTTGTCATAAGAAAACGGTTAACTAATAAAATAAGTATAAAGTTTGGGGGAGGGGAGGGGTGGTATTTATGGAAAATCAAGATTGAACGTTAAATAGAAAATAATAGTCACCACTTTACAACTTTATCAAAGAAATTTCATAGAACTTGCTTTTATCAGCGTTGCATTCAAAGTTGAAGAGAGTTCAGGACGGATCGACAAATGGATCAATGCAGAACTAAAGATAGACTTCCCGACAATCTAACTATAGTCTATGTATAACACCAGAGTCCACTTAAATCAATCAAAAATGGACTAACAAACTACTGAGGTCACCTCTCTACGTATTAACAAATCTACATGTATTTTCGGAAATAAGTACTCAATGAAGAGCATCGACAAAGTTGTCGTAATATAATCCCCGTGAGTTGTAATCTAAGAGGATCTAAGGTTTTCACAAGTGCAATTCCTAAACATTGAATGGATAGCCAATAAAACGTGAATGCTTCAAAACACATTGTTGTTTTACATTGGAATCGTGAATCAATCCATAGATTGATCAAAGTTAGACATTACCACCGTTGTATGCCGACTAACTAAGCGATCTAGAGGTTAAGCGTTCGCGCACAAGACCTAAGGGCTTAGGTTCGATTCCCGCAAGCGAGTATTGCGAATACACACTCTTGAAGAGTCCTATACTAGGACGATACGACCGTTCAGTGCTTCCAAGTTTCTTTTTCATGCTGGCCTAACACTGATCAATTCACTATTCATATCGATTTTTAGGAAATCAGTCATATGATAAGTGCATGTGATTCGTCAAGTAATGGCTTGTATTTCAAACGAGATAATGGGTGAATGATTATTTTAAGGAACATACATTTTGTTAGGATATTCCTCCAATATCCTAAGAGAATTATTGGTCAATTCTTATTGGTTAATTCTTACTGGTCAATTTTATGGTCGTCCTAGATATCAATGTCACGTGCTCCAATGTTGTTTCTGATTGGTTAACCTGATTATCAATGTCACTTCAAATGTTGCTTCCTATTGGTCGTCTTAACTGTCAATGTCACAGACTTCGATGTTGTTTCCTATTCGACCAAAATGTATAAATACGCATTATTTGTAACGTTTTATGACCAGGACGCGGTCCCGGATCCCTAGTCCGGGATCCTGATTCTCTTCTGGATTCGGACCTCGTACATTATGGATGCTTGTAGAATACACGTTCTACTTCATATCAAGTTTTGTCTTCTTTTACTTAATATGAGGATTGGGATAAACGGATTTGAGTAGCATGTCATGTCGCTGGATCCTCGCTCTCACGTTTCCGACTAGGTAAACTCGTAATAATTCAAGTTTATATCAAGTTGACGTGTTTACATACAGGCATAACACATTTAAAAAACAGTCTTGATTTAATCCAGTGTCACAAAAAAAACTTCCTTCTCACCCTTGAAGTTATTTTATAATTTAAGTAACACAATTGAGTAAGTGAATAGGATGATTGTATATCATACATAGTTATATGGAATGATAAAAAAGGTATAACGTGAACTTTTAATTACAACAACAAAAAATACAAATAATTCAAAGTAATAGATTGAAAGAGAGAGGAGAAAAACTATGTAGAATACAACTCAACATAAAATTATTATTATTATTATTATTATTTATTAATGAATGAATAAAACTTACAGTAAGTTTAATTGCATTACTATCCATATTGTAAATATCTTCAACAAGAACTAATTCAGGATTATCTATTTGAACTTTTAATTCCATATTATAAGGATAAACAGTTGGTAATGATGATTCGGTTTTCTTATTATCTAAAATAATAGATATAGATATATATATATGAAAAGAATAAATATTATATTTATATACAACTATTGATACAAGACAGACAGACAGACAGATACAATGCAGAACTACATACGTAAGTACATCAGTTCAGGTTGCCATGCCCCACATCAGCACAGAGACGAAACTGTCAGTTTAAATACAAGAGTGATAGCGATAATAGAAGTATTAGCAGTAATGGAGAAGATTAAGGAGTGAAGATATGATTCGAGAAGTATAATTCAGTAAGATAAATTAAGAAGGAGAAAGGTAGAGATTATGAGGAATTCAAAAGGTTAGAATTAGAGAGAGCACAAAGAGTGAATGCACCTGCGACATTGCAAACGATTCTCACTATTGATACAAAAGGTCACTTAAATAGTTTTGCGTCATATAAATCATTGTATTTGTGAGCAAGCTACTTGGATGCCGAAATCGAAGCAGACGGTTTTTTGAGAGAGTCACTCTCACAACCTTTGATTCAGGGATCTAACCCACAAGGCGATGGAAAAACGTTAGGAGATGAA